GTGTTTGAAGGGGAGAAGTTGAGTGTGACTGCTCGTCTCCACACTGTCTCTCCCAGTGCTGCTAGCTGTGGCAAACTGATTAAGCTCCTGAATGCCACTCTTTGTCACCCCTCACTTTTGCAAGGGACATGTTTCTGTAGTGATTCACGTTGTTTTCTTGCCCGTGTTGCCCGTGTTTTTAATGGAAATTCAGTTTTAGCAATAATTCATTATCACATGAGCATGTTTTCTCAGAGGGGGTGATGTTTCTCCAAAAAAGCTAAAGCAGTATAAGAGGAGAGATAGTTTGTTCAGGAAATATCCAACCATAAGGGCTGTGCTTTGGTATCAAGAATTTAAAGTTGTAATAGGGTGCCAAATGTTTGCTCGTCAGGCTAGCTTCTGTTCAAAGAGGCAGTTCTTCACATGGCATTCCAGGAATGGCGGGCCGTGCATTTCACACCTCGGCCTTCAGTAGTACTCCGTCTGAATCAATCCACCCCTCAATCACTATTTTATGGCTATAAAAACCATCTTATTATGCAGAAATGCAGTATAAAGACCCGTTGCATCGCAGATAGATAACTCATGTAGCCAGAATAAATGCCTTTACTGAAGAAACAAACCCGGGGTGCACAAGTCTCCTTCTACTGCAGCTACAGCTGCGACACACATAAAAAAGCATCAATAATAACCTCATAAAATTGCAATATTATTTAGGAAAATAGCAGCATTTTACTCACCAAAAATCCTGATTATTTGTACACAAAATCCATCCTCTTCCCTCAAGAAGAGTTCAATTACTCTGTCGTACAGATTATCCGTGCATTTCAGTTCCATCAAGAAGTCCTTTTCTATCGCCATCGATGCTAATGCTGAAATTCGAGCTTGCCCTGTTGTATTTCTGGCATAAGTTTTAATTCGCTTTAGGGCTGAAAATGTCCGCTTGACAGAAGCAGTGGACACGGGGATGGTCACCGCCAAACACACAAATGAGTACAGCTGCCCCATGCTCTCTGCTGAAGGAAGTCAAGGAGATCAGTGGGTTCAGCAGTCTTGCTTGCTTCAGAGTTGCCCGACCTTTCTTAACGATGTCCAGCTTTTCATGAAAGGTCTGTCTTGAAAATGGCTTTGACAATAAATCTGCAACCAAATCCATTTCTTCTCCTCCTTCAGCCATTGTGGGTTGACAAAACAGCTATTAAATCAACACAACTATATTTTTGCTCGTGCAGCTCGCTACAGATGCAGTTTGCTAGCTCTGGCTAGTACACTCTCTGACTATCCAATCAAAGGGTGTGAATACGCTGAAGCAACAGTTTGATCGACACTTATTTTATGCTACAGGGCCCGCAGAACTGATTGTGAAGGCCTCCAGGCAGATTTCTTTGACCGTGGCAACAAATGATGGCTGAAATGTGATTGGTTAAATGTTTTAATATGAAAATACACGTCTGGAAGCAGCGCAACCAGGGGGAAAGCTATGAAAGGAAGCAGACAGACCATTTGGAATTATGACTTTGACTATGAATATTACTGACGGCCCACCACTGCATTCCAGAAAGCACTGCGTGCCAGCGCAGGGATCGCTTGGCTTGGTGTCACCTAATTAAGCAACACACCTTCACAAACATCCACGCTGCACATGTGCTCTGCAAAACTAACATTTGGGATGGAGGAATGGAATCACTCTTATGATGTTCTAATGACCTTAAAAACTATGTGGTGTTTAGATTTTCCAACCAAACCTGCTGTGTTTAAGTCAAATAAATCACATGCTAGTGTAAATGCTAGTATTTTTGGATCACAAACTTTCCACGTGCATAAAGTATGCTTTGCATGTTTAAAGGTTTTGAAATATGAGGCGCTGCACGCTTTTGCTTTAAACCTGTTATGCTTGTATACAATGCGAAAGTTCCTGCCTCTTTACATAATACTGGAAGCACAGGTTTGATGTGGATGTGTTTGATGTGTGTCACGGAGCTGTTTGCGTGAATTCCAGGCTTGCATGATTATAGCTTGTTGAAGTGCTCGGGGGACTGAAACCTCGGGGGGACGAGGCACATGTTCCTGCACTGACAAGTAATGACGAAAAGACGCGTTGAACTTACAGGTAAGGGGAGTTGTTGTTTTATGACTTTAACTAGCTTAAAATTTAGATGTGTTTAGAGGAAAACTAGAGGATGTTAAGCCTATCTTTGAGATGTCAAACAGCATACATTGCACAGATATATATAGAAAAACTGAATTGATTACTGTCTTGAACGAGAAGGCTACTGTATCTTTATGTATTTGATGTGATCATTGAGACTTTGCCTGCTATTGGCATCAGTTCAGTACATTGGTTGCTTTAATCTGTGTGTGCAAACATAATTAAGTGAAGTGTCATCTTCAGATAAGCGCAAGAGTATTTGTAGTAGTTAAAGAAGCCTAGATATGGTTCGATAAAGAGATCAACATTTCAAGATGTCACTCCCAGGTGCGATCTAAGACTGGATGGTAACCTCAAAGCCGCTATTCTTTTACATGTGGTTAAACTGACAAACTATTTCAAACCACTGTTGCCTGCGAACCAGCTGTAGTAGTTGTCACAGCCTAACTCAGCTGTGTGAGCAGCCAGAACATTTGTGTTTAACATTGTGAATTTTAAGAATGAGACGTTAAGTAGTTCAACCCATTGAGTTTAAATCTGTTTGTGTACTTGTAAATTGCTCAAACAAAGTAGACAAGGTTTTGTTTGCAAAGGCACTCTAGTGTTTCCTTCTGAATAGAGTTTGAGTTCTGAAGGCTGGGTTCACCTCGGTCTGTCCCAGCAGATGTTTATGAACGTCTCAAACCTCCTCCATCATTGCTCTCATTATCTGTGTTGACAGCAAAGCCTGTCATGATGCATTTCTTTTGTGTGTGTAGTTGTATGTCTGCTTGTGTCCACCCATAGTTTGCATAGATTTCCACTCACTGGAATCTTTTATATTGTGATTTCAAACAATGTTTGAGAATGTAATAGAATTGTGAATGTGTCATAACCTTAGTCGTCGTTGTAATAGAGTACATACTTAGGTGTGTCCCGGTAGCCTTCCGTCCTTTCTTTGATTATACTCATTACACACGTACACGTACATAAAGTGTTTACAGTTTTTTCAACCCAGTCATCTCATGTTGTAGTATGTGAAGCTTTTCATAAGTTTGTTTGGAAGGTATTTTTATAATTACTATGCATTTGTGAAGTTTGATAAAGACATAAGGAAAAGACTTATAATTTTCAGAAAGCACCAGGGGCAAGGGCTGTTTGGGAAGAAATGCATCATGACAAAGGCATTGGGCAGGGCAACCTTTTCAGTTAGTTACCACAAGGAATTCAGATGTCGGTGGAGACTTGAAGTCGGAATTCACAAATGAAGATGCCTCACGTTTATTTTAACAGTCACGTCAATTTAACAAGCACAATGAAACTGGTCATGAGCAGAGACCCTGAAAACTCTTGCCAAAATCCTGTGTATTCTCTTCTGTTTATTTCATTTTGTGAGTCAGAATTGGAATGATGATGTTGAAATAAGTCGATGCATGTATTTTACATCAATATTATAAGATGTGGTTTATCAGCACAATTTAATATATATATTTGGTCCTGTCCATTATATGTCAGTTCCTCAGAGCCCCAGCTGACGTCTTCAAATGTCTACAGTTCAGAATCTGAAAAGAAAAGAAAAGAAAAGCAGAAAAAGCCTTAAATTGGAGAAGGCGGAACCAGCAAATATTTGCCCCGACAAAGTTGATGTCAAAGTAATTATGTTTCAATTGACTTGCATATGTTAACATAAAATATGTGTTGCAGAAGATTTTATTTTATATTACTTAAGCATTGATCTTTTATGTTGTAGTTTCAGTCTCTTTTAATTTTGGTACTAACATTTTTTGTCCCACTTCCCATGACAACAACATAAAGCCAGGTGACTCTGTTTATATATTTACTTAGAGCAGACTGTGTTTGGCCATGTTTAAGCTATTGTCTTTTGATTTACATTATTCTCCGTCCCACGTCTTTGAGTGAACATGCAAGTCCTGTAGGCTTTGCCACTCAGGTCTTTTTCTCTGTTTACAGAAGCCATGCTCTCTTAAACATGGAAAAGGTTCATTTAAAGTGCTGACAACTGTCTTAAATGGACTGTGTAATTATGTCCAGTAACAGACTTCAGGTTGAATTAGAGGCAAGTCAGTCACTGGTTTAAAAGTAAAAAAGTAGGACAGTATAAAAAGTAAAGATTCCTAATTAGCGCAAATACATAAACACCAAAGCATGATAGAATTTCTTGTAATTTATTTATTAAGCAGAATAAATTCAGTTGAGATTAATTATTTAAAACACAATTCTTCTCTTTAGAATAGATCATCTCAGGGTAAGACTACCATGTAACTTGCACTACCTAGTTTTAGGCTTTAAATATACTGAGGCTGTGAATGTCCACTCAGTTTCCTGCTGGTTAGATGACCCTGCAGGAAAGTGTGAGCATTACCAAATTGGTGCGGTCATTATGTCCCCATTAGGCTTAGGAAATAATGTTGTAGATGCAATCTCCATTATTCCTAATACAATGCTAATCTGGAAACAAATTGGAAAACACTAGCTCAGGACAGTGTCTGTTATGCTACCTGTATATCTTAAATCTCTGCTTTACTCCTTGGAATATAAATAGGGCCTATTGAGAGAATTACTGAGAGATAACATCAGATTCCTCTGCATAAAAGGGGATATTTAAGTTGTCTGAATAGCTGAACTGAATCAATTCTTTACATCTCCAGAGAAGAAACTATGCTTGCACAATAAAAGTCTTTAAAAGAAAGGGAATGGAAAGGAAAAGTTAAACCATGTTGCTGAAAATCCTAGTGGCCTGCTATCAACAACATCATGTCTGTTTCAGGCATGTTCTCACTTGTGTTCATCTATCAATCCCCCCGGAGCACTGCATGGAAATGAAAGTACACTTCCACAAAAGAGAAGATGACTCTCTTCTCTTTTCAATGGAGCTAAGACACATTGCATTAAAATCACCGAGATGGAGCCGGGTGTAAATGGGCGTGCATAGTTTTTCTGGAAGGTAGGATGGAGGGATCCGGGAAAAAGGGAGAGAGAGTGAGAAAGAGGGATATGCTTGTACTTCCTCTCCGCCCATTCTTTCATGCTTGATGAGTAGCCCGCAGTGCAGGCTTTGTCCAAGTCATTGTCACAGGCTTAGAGAGCCTCTTTGCCAAGTGAGAGGCTTTGGCGACATATGTCACTTCAGTGAGTCTCCTTTAGCCGCTTGAGTGGAGGGGTGGGCAGGGAGGCGTGTCTGTGCACCAGGAGAGGAGCAACGTGAGGTGGAGGACGAAGGACATGTCAGAGATGTTAGTTCATAGAGAGTTGTTGGAATGATCCCTTGATGGTCCAGTCCCATACTTTTTCCATGGGCTTGTAGTGTAGCTGCGTTGGGCCTCTTCTAGAGGTGGACTTCAGATGTGGAATGACTCAAAAACCAGTGAGTATTCATGAAAAGTATGCTATTAGTTCCTTGGAAATGTTTTTTTCTGTATTTACTGTATATGTATTTGAGCATAATAAAGTGCGTATAAACAATTTATTTCTTTGCTGTCTGTACTTTGCAGCTACATGTACATAGTCTGTAGGGGTGCTGGTTTGTCTGAGGGAGGTTGCAATAAGTTTGAGTTGAAAGAAAGGGAGGGGGGTTTATTGTATACAGTGTGTGTTGGCAAGGATTAGCCATGTAGTAGTCACACTCTGCTAGCCCTGGTCAACTATTGGTTTAGGAAACACAATCCCTGCGGATTTGTGTCTGTGATCTGCCATGTGTTCAGGTAATAGATCCTTTGCTCCCAAAACAAACGCTTTGTTATCTGTTTACATAGGGACTCCACCCCATTTTACACTCTAAGGATTTTGCCTTTCAAACAGACTGTGTCACCTTTGTTTGAGTTATCATTTAAGTGGCAGGTTTGCAGATCTCCACGTGCATATACAGCTTAGTAACGTGCCTAACGTAAAGGTGGTGTGCACCAGGCAGTGGATCTGCTGCACATGAATGAAAGTTGCCTGTTAGGTTGTTGCCAGGATAAACACAAATCCGGATAAAAGGTCCCACTTCTCATGTCATTGGTGGACTCTGGGCCTCCTACCTAACAAGGACTCTATATGCCCTGCTGGGCTGATGTGGTTTTATGTTTGTACTTTAAATCACAACACTGTCACTAAAGTTTTTACTTATGCCTGTGTAATAGTGCAGTAGGTGGTCCCTAAGCTGTATCTGTGTGTGCAGGCGGGCACATATGGGCATGTGTCTGTGTGAAATACAGAACACATAGCATCAGACTAAGAATGACAGAGGCTTACAGCTTGATAACAAAATTAAAATGTATGTTTACTCCACTGTAACAGACATCCAACAAGCTTTGTTTACCATTCAATCCGGCTGAAGATAATCACAAAAAGTTCTTATTGCAAATAATACTCCGCCACAATCTCTCAATTTGTTTAATTGATTCTAAATTCATGCAGCTTAATCCTTCATCTAGTCTAAAACAATTACCACTTTAACCTTACACACTAAGAAGGGACAACTCATGCAGCTTTGTGTCCTTAGAAGAACTCTGAGTAGCACTCAGTCATTGTTAAGCAGCGTACTGTATGACTGCTGGGGCTCCCTGCCTTCATTCTCCTGATAGCAGGATTAGCTAGAGGGTGAACCCATTTGGCATTGCCAGTGCTCCCGCCACAGTCTCAGCACTGTGAGAACTAAGCCGTGAAATACTGACAGGCTTAGACCAATTTATAGTCTGCCATCTTGGATCTAGTGATCGTAGCAGACAGCAGCTTTGTGCCAGTCGGGTTTACTGTAAGCATGCCATGCAATGCCACCAGCCATGGCTTTACAGTTCAAAGGGTAATCTCCAGACAAGTGCACTGGTGTGTTGTGCTACAACCTCACAACAATAGGAGACAACTGACTTTGAATGGCTAGTGTTCCCAATGGGAAATTTTGCATAAATTGGGCACAGGTTTTTTATTAAATGGGCCTCAGTAAAGAACTTTAAATGTCTTCTTTTTTATACACAAAATAGTCAAATATATTTAATGTGAATGGATGATTTAATTACTATGATGAAAATATACAATTTCAAATATTTAATTTTAAATTATGTAGTCCTTTGCTGATACTCTCTACTAATCCTTCTTGACCGTTCTGCCTTTGAGTGCTAAACCTTCATTAAATTCCTTTACAGATAATCTACATTTACTTGCAAAACATCATGAAGGCCATCATTCTTACCCTGAGGCACACCCTATTTGAAATAAAACTCATCAGACGAGAACATATTATAATCAGGATTGTCATAGAGAAACACTGCAAAGTATGTAGGTGTGACAAGCTTTTATGTTGTCAGATCTTATTTATGTATTTTTTTTTACTTTCACTTGGCAGTCAGCCTAGTTGTATAAAATGCCCGTTTCCAACATTGCTACCTTAAGTGTTATTATTCTAAGCCCATTTAGAGCTAACCAACTCTCCCTCTGTGATGTTCATTCAGTGCTGCATTTCTGTGATTACAACAGATGCTTGTAAGGCCCTTAACTGTTTATCCAAGCGGAATTTGTTCGACTTATCATGTTATCATGTTGTTGTTTTTTTCAGGTCCTCTCTGCCTTGCAAATTCCAAGTGATGCCAGTTGATCTGCATCAACACGTTCTCGTAATCCCTACTGTCTCCGTTAACCAGTTGAGGGTGATGAGGGTGATGAGGGTGGTGGGGACCCTGCAGCTTGTTCTGCTTCTGACCTTGACCTCCCGGGCAGCGGGCTTCAATATTCCTCTGGAAGGTAAGAGTGTCATGATACTGATTAAGGTCATGCTTGTTGTAATCTCCAGTTAATATCAAGAGTTGATTTACATGTTTTTGATTGGCATGCAAAACAAAATCTTTATGATCTTATCTGTAAGTTGAACGGGTCACTCATTGTGTAAATTCAGTCTGTTCTGAGTAACAAAACATTTGTCAGAAATGTGTGTTCATCATAATTTTGGCTGATCATCCTGCTTGAGTGTAAATGTTTGCAGCTCTTTAAAATGATGACTTACAAATAACAACTCAAAGTAAATTGTTCAAGTCACAAGTGTTGCAGCAGAGCTGTCTTTGTTTAGGGCTAAGAATGCTTTGCAATCAAGTTCTGGTGTGCTATTTTAGTTCAGTGTCTATCTAAGGCACCCTATTTGTCCAGCTTATGCATTGTTGTCATAGAACTTCGCCATGTACTGACTTCTCACCATCATACAGGGCAGTATGAAAGAATCGGAAACAGTAGACGAAAAATCTTGTAACAAAAACCTAATCATCAATGTTAATATTGAACATTTTTGTGATCATTTTGTATGTTTGTTTTCATATAATAGTGGAACAGCCTCCAACCATAATAACTCACACATCTGGTCCAATTGTTGCCCTTCCTTTTGATAACACCGTAAAGATCAGGTGTGAAGCCAGGGGCAACCCACCACCAGAGTAAGTGATACCGCAACATATTCTCTATCATAAAAACAAAACAAGGAACTGTATCACTGATTTAGATCAACTGTGACAAAAGATCATCACTTTGATCAGTTTCATTAAACAATTTGTATATCAGTAATGAACTGAAACCTACTGTATATTTTTTTCAGATACAAATGGACAAAAGATGGCAAAGTCTTTATCCCTCCACACTTCACAACAAACAAAACCAACCACAGTGATGGCACTTTTGTCCTTCACAACAAGCACCTCCTCCAGTTTCAGGGTAAATACAGATGCTACGCTTCTAACAAGCTTGGAACTGCCATGACGGAGGAGATTGAACTGATTGTTCCCAGTGAGTAACCTTTACAAAAAAGAAGCTCATCTATAATGTGGAAATGCTTTTCCACATCACTATATAAGTGAATTTTCTTTCCCAGTTTTCATAATGAGGTTTTCATTTTGTTTGATGTCTGTTTTCTTTTTTTATTAGGTATTCCCAAGTTTCCAAATGAAGGCATTGATCCCATTGTTGTTAAGGAGGGAGACCCAATCATCTTGCACTGTAACCCTCCAGAAGGTGTGCCCCCACGTCAGATCTACTGGATGTCTATTGGTAAGCCAAGAAGCGACTGTTTATGCTTGTATGCTTTGCAGAAGTGTTTCTACCTGTATCGAATGTCCACACTTGAACAGAGAGGGGTTCCATAAATCATACAAGTGGAGATAACATCGCACACTTTTACCTAAAAGGCATTCTTGGTGGTACACTTTGGTGTACACAGAAAAAGTGATGAAATAGAAGTTCAAATCCTGGCTTCTTTCACTCCTCCGTTTACCTTGCCAATTGTAGCACAAGGTGGCTATTTCAGAAATGTAAAAAACACAAGATAGAGTATTTCATACGCCCTTAGACTGACAAGTTCTTTGTTTGAAGCACACTGAGGCCTCATGAATGTGAAGCTGGTATTGGATCACGTCCATTTCAGGGTGAGATAGTGTAGATAGTGTAAAGGTCTGTCTGCACTGAAGTTTCTCATAGATGAAAAGAGTCCAAAAGATGGCGAGTCCATGTGCTTTAGAAGAGGCACGTCCTCTGGCTGTCCTCACCTCCACTGGCCATTAGTGAAGTTAGCATTGACAGTAAGAAGAAAGGTAGACACTTGAGGCCCACAAGTTTACCTCACATCAGGCGCCTTTTCCCCACCACTGCCAAAGAAAGTGACTTACTGTAGAAAAAGTTCCATCTATAGTGCTTTGTCAATAGGGGCTGAGTTTTCTTTCCAGCCCCTTGAGAGCTCCTCAAAACCTCCAACAAACCTGTCTGATGTCAGAAAGAAAAATATAGGCTATAGAGTTTTTTTAGGGGCTCAGAAGGACAGGACCTAGAGGCATGGAACAGAGTGAGTGAATACACTTAAACAATTCTTGTTTTAAAGTTTAAAATCTTTATCTTTTACTTGTAATTTTTCACACATGTATATATTTCAAAATAATCAAATATAATAGGAGATACGTTGATATATACATTGCTCTTCTGAAAAATACAAATACATCAATGAAAACAGTGATCGTGTGAGTCGTTACCTCCAGCATATTATCTCTGCATGCAGTTCAGTGCTTGCTTTGTATTAGTGACCCATCTTTCCCTCAAGTCCCATGTAAGATAGATCAGAGCCAAATATGTCTTTTCTTATGAGTTTGCTTTGAACACTGACAAAACTACGAATGACTTAAGGCTATGTCTTAAATGAAGCTGTTAGGTACTGTGAATGGGCTGACCAAGGAGTGACACAGAGCGTCGCTGACCCATGCTTTAAATAATGGCTCTATGTAAACCAAACATGCTGTAACAGTGTTCTTAAGAGTTCACCGGCTCTATAAAAGGAAACTCTTTAGGGCACTTCCATTTATATCTTACGTTAATGGAAAGGATGTTACTAACGTCTATATGAGGCTACGCTGCAGTTTGTTATCATGAGACACAGAGGTTGTTGTGAAAATAAGGTTTTACCTTTTACTCCTTCTGGTGCCCTGATGGATGCATTTGAGAGGTTCCGTCCAATTTCTTACTAGCCCCAATAATGTCAACAATATAGGTTGACATTATACACAGCTTGTCTACATTGATTGCACATCTTTCATACAAATATGCTCTTTTTTTTAGGTCTCCAGCACATTGAGAAGGATGAGAGGGTTTCCATGGGCATTGATGGCAACCTGTACTTCTCAAATGCCTTACAGAAAGACAGCCGGCGGGACTACTGTTGCTTTGCTTCCTTCCCGAAAATCCGAAGAATTGTCCAGAAAACTGCGATGGCTGTTATTGTCAAGAGCTGTAGGTTTACAAAATTGTCTGTGTGGCTTTAACCAAAATGCAACCTGTTGTACGACTGCAGCTCATGTTATCATGGCATCATAGACAGGTCCCTGAGAAGTTAAAATACAAAGAAATGATACAAAAGTGTGAAAAGACAACATCTGCATGTATTTCCAGTTATTTTTACTGTTATTTTTAAGATGTTCCTGAAATGGATACCAAGAAGCAGGGCTTGCCTTGTCATGTTTATGCTCTACAAAAGTCTAGATTGAGCAATACATGCCAATGAAGACAAACCATAACCACCACTACTAGCATTATTCTCACAGTGTTTTGTTTTCGTTCCAGTGAAAGCTGACAATGAGTCTGCTGACAGCGTCGATGCCAGTGAGTGATATTCACACATCAAAGCCTTCACTGTATAAATCAAAACACATTTCAACACGCAACATATCTGGCTTGCTGCAGATCAAATATTTACTTTTTTCTATGTAGATTATCTGATTAAATTAGATTTAAATTATTCTTATGGCTGAGGAAGAGTGTTCTCTATGTTCGAAGCTCCTGAAGCCCCCCCAGTGAGAAAACCTGGCCTGTTGCTGCCCCCTGGTGTTCAGACAGAGAAGTTGCTGTTGAAGGGAGAGCGTCTGCAGCTCGAGTGTATACCACATGGATAGTATGTATACTGTACATGCTGTATCATTGCAACTGCAGCCACATTATCATACGTATAATCTATTATCATATTTATTTGCTATTTTGGCTTGTAAAATGTTATCGTTTCAAATTATAGTCCCACTCCAACGATAAAATGGATGAAATTGGGAGACAAGATGCCCTCACGGACAAAATATGACAACTATGGAAAGCTATTGATCATCTCTGCTGTGGAAGAGAAGGATGGGGGGAAATACATGTGTATAGCTGAAAACTCTGCTGGAAAGGCTGATCACTATTTTGATGTAATAGTGGAAGGTAGGTCAACACCGAGAGCTAGTGACGCATGTATTTATGGGTGCATTTGTTTTAGTTTCAGAGAGAAAGCTGTTGACACAGAGATGGCAGTTGTTTTGACTCAGACCAACAAAGCTCTTCTTAACATCTCCCAGAGCCGCCAAAGTGGCAGACGGAGCCTCCTCAGAGCCAGCTGAATGTGAGTGGGTCTGATGTTCACATCAAGTGTGCGGTCAGTGGAAAACCATCGCCAGTCATAACATGGAGGAGGAATGCAGGATTGTTCAGAGGTGAGTGGGAATAATTTGAGCTGTGGTTTTATGCATCTTTTGCCACTGGGCAGGAGGAGAGAGCAGCGAACAGTTACAACAAACTTCAACCTCAAGTCCACAAGTAGCTGCTCTGCTGGGTGTTGTTTAAAGCTCATGAAATGCAACTCCAGTCTTGCAGGAGTGGTGTAGTCAAGAGCTGCTGTATATCAGAGGGCTGATACTAGAGTCACAGTATACTGTACATTGGCACAATAAGCAAAAATAAACTACAGGTTTTGCAGTTATTTTTCCTAACTTTGTTGCATGATTGTGATGTGATTGAAAGTATTTCTGTAAAAACAATACTTTTATCAGATCGTTTTAACTTTCAAATATTGACATCTGTGTTTGTCCTAAAAAAGCATGTTGGTTGTGCTTATTTTGATGTTATGCGTCTGTATGTTGCTTTCAGATGACTCACAGAAGAACAGCCGAGTGCTTGATGACACTTTGATTATCCACAACGCCAGACCAGAGGACAGCGCCGTCTACCAGTGTGACGCTTCCAACAGTCATGGCAGTCTTCTGGCCAACATTAACATCATGATCATGAGTGAGTGTTAGAGCAGGACTTTAGCTCTGCACAGCCAGAGAGAACATGCTAGCTAATAAACACAGTGGCTTCATTAGGTATACCTGCATCTGGGAAATGTTGTGTAGTTTGTGTGGGCTTAAAAGAGGCAAAATATTAACCCTCTTTATCATCCTGGAAGCATTTGGCTAAGGTTAGATTATAACCATGATGTACAAAGCCTGGGCAGCAGCTGTCTTTCAGTAAATTGTATTGGCTACAGCAAGTATGCAAACATTTTTCTCTCTTCCATCACCCAAATTGGTGCTCACATGCCTTTTTAGCCTCCTCTGCTTTTTGGTTGACAGTAGTAGAAGCAAGTCTGCTGCTGTAAATAAAAGAAATCACACCCAGATAGCTATAAGATTTTCTTCAATTCTGCTTCTGTATCCCATCTGTCTCAATGTTCTACAACCTGAGCTGTAGCACTGTGTGTTGTACTAAGGTGTGAGTGCATTTCTATTGCGCTTTTGACCAAAAGGCACTGGCCCCATCAGGAGCAATTGTTTGGGTTCCCCACTCTACCTCCTGAGCCACATCCGTCCTTGTTATATATACTACCTTGAAGAAAAATCAGTCCACTCTGAGATTATGTAGCTTTAGTATTTCTCACTCATTCTATGAACCAGTTGATTATCACATGTCACTCGAGTAGTAGATATTAATGTAAATGGAGGTTTACCTAATAAAAAGAGGCCTACTTATAGAGAACTCCCTCTCAACTCCCAGCATGCCTCTGTTCCACTAGCTTCTGTAACTTAATGCGATCTCACATTCAGCATTTAAGAAAAAATGAAGGGTTTACAATCTGTATTTTAGCATACATGAGTACTTACTATAGTCCTTAATATGATAATCTTTGTGATCTTAAAAGGTTACTTAAAGACTCATTTGTTGGCATCCAAATAAACTACAGCTCCCAGGAACTGTTTCAACACTGCATGTCCATGATATCCCCCAGCAGTCTCTACTTGTGTCATTTTAGCTGTAATTTCTGTTGCGTAAAACAACAATACCGTTCAGTCCTCTCTGTCCTGTTGCTATTACAACCATGCAGAGCTGCAACTTGCTATTTTCGATTATTATCAATTAGTTTATTATTTTAGTCAGTAATATTAACTAAACAATGATGTAATGTTATACAATCATCTACACAAATGGAATGAACCATGTGGCTTACTGTAGAACAAGTTTGTCCCTACATGTTCATCATTTTACAGATTACAAATGTCAATGGGATTTTAAATTCCTTACTCTGGCTCTCTATAATATATGTTATACCTCTTGAATTTTTACAAGAGGTTGTCATGCTCATGCATGCATTTGAATTATATCTTTATTTGCAGTCAGCTGTTCTTCAGCCTCTATTTCTTTTGAAAGAATTCTCAAAGGCAATAACTTGATATTTGACCAGCTGTAATCTCTCCTCCTTCCCCTTGCACTTAGATATGGCTCCTCGGATACTGACAAGGGACCACCAAGAGTACGCTGTAGTACTAGGAGGGGACATTATCATGAACTGCAGTGTTTTTAGCTCTCCACCACCCAGCATCTCTTGGTAAGTAATCACCAAGTGTTAGTCTGTCTTGGTGATGTCTGTCATTCTTGAGAAGTTTCACAGATCATTTTAACACCTGTTATTAAGATCTTCACACCTTCATTCAGTGTGATATGTTTTCTTCAGGTAACTGGTTTTATCCATGTATTTACAGCACTATATCAGTCAGCATTGTGCATTGTGCAGATGATGAAATTCCTCTTCCGTTCCTCGAAATTGGGCTAATTAAATCCTATTAACTACCACTGCAGCTCTGCTACAGTTCTACAAAAGGGAAATAGGATCTCAGACAATTCATGACAAAACACTCTTAACTTTACAAAGACCCTCACAATATCAGGATAGTCCTATTGGATATTCCAAAAACCCTAACCATGTTTTGCTTTATTTTGGATTGTGCTGTAACTCAAACATCCCTGATTAATCAGAAACTAGGAGCTTCTCTATTTCAATCAATTGAAAATCAGAGGATTTTGTGGCACTGTTTGGAAGAGAAAAGCTTCATCTGAAATAAAAAAATTAAAAAAGTCTGGTGTAAAGAACCAAAGACAAAAAATTTAGGCTGAAATTCCTAAATGCCACCTTAACTGGCAAGGTATGATTTGCTCTTCTGCTGCTGGCTAAGTTGTACACACACACACACACACACACACACACACACACACACACACACACACACACACACACACACACACACTCTAAAACAGGTGTGAAAACTTTCTCTCCTAGGGCCAAAGATGAGACTCCAGTAACCACAGAGGGGGGACGATTTGCCATTCTGCAGGACAGATCTTTTCAAATCATCCGTGCAGAAAAAAACGACAGTGGGAATTATGTGTGTGTTGCCTCAAACACAGAGGGCAAGTCGGCTGTCACTGCTGTGCTGGATGTGAAAGGTATCTCGGCAACATGATTAGTGTTGACTTTCTTAAGCAGGATTAGCACTAGTCACTGCACACGATTAGTCATTGAAGGGCCAGTTTTCAACAGTTTTCAATTGTGTCTACATGCTTGGTTTGACTAGGGGTGGGGAGACGACGTTTTTTGTTATTCAAGTGAACTGACCCTTTAAAATGAAAGTCACTGTGGTTATAATGTGGTACAACTACACTTTGTATAGTACTCTTATTACTGAGACAGTTTTTGCAGGTCATTTGTTCAATAGAGGGCTTTGGCTTCTATACAAAACCACATAACAAAACAGTGTTACGTGGTTTTGCATTAAGTTTAATATGTGGAAGGTTGAATCCTTTTTAACATGCTCAGCTTAAAGTAGTCTGTCTCTGTTAGGTCATTTTACTGAAAAGCCAATAAATATCTCATTGTCTAGACTTTAAATTCATCTTTCATTGATGTTATGAAAAACATGCAGCATAAATAATAATCTGGTGGAACATATTTAGAAATATATTTTTCATGGACATTTCATAAATGCAAATTACCATGGAAATTTATTGAGCAATAACAAGACATTTCCATTTTGATTACCCGTTTCACAAATCAAAGAGGCAGTTACTGCGAGAAAGACTCATTTATAAAGTAAATAATTTGGCTCAACTTCAAATATTCACATCCTTTTTGAAGCATGCAGGAATTTTGAATATAATAATGGTCTCTGGCTCCAGCGCAACAAGACAAATATCATTATATTTTACTCTTATCTGTTTTGTCCCTGCTTTTTTTATCTTTAGACCCCACAAAAATAGTAGATCCACCTCGGGAGGCGCAGATCATCAGTGGGACCACAGCCCAGTTCACTTGCCAGGCAGAGTATGATAAAAGCCTGCAGAGCACCTTTGAGGTGGTATGGAGGAAGGATGGGGAGAAGATCCCATTGTCATTTGAGGAAAATTCCAGGTAGGTGGCTGTGGTTTTGTAGTGTTTTCATTAGTTCTGTTCTGTTAGCTTTGTTCAGTGTCTTTATCTCTGCTAATACTAGGGAAGAGAAAATGCATGAAAAATCCCAAATGTTCCTTATCCAGATCAGTAGAGGGTCAAAGGCGAGGGGTTGGGGTGGGGATTTGGGGTTTTGTTGGTCTTTTCTCTGCTTGATGAATTGATTGATTACCTCTGCCGAGGAGGATATATTTTTGTTTGCCTAGTTATCAGGTAGTTTTAGTTAAGCCACAGCTCAAGCTACTGCACTTAGCACATATAAACCATGATAGATGATAGACATTGCAATGTACATTTCGATGCAGCTCTGGATTGAAAAAAAAATCAGTAACCATGTAGAGGATTGTGCAGCCTTGGCTGAGGTACTGTACACTGTACTCTCTACGTGATTGATTGATTTAATTTGTATTCCAGCTTTTAATGATTGTGCTTATTTGTTCAGATACTTAGTGGCTGATGGCTTACTGCAGATCATGAATGTGAACCTGAGTGATCAGGGATTTTACACATGCATTGCTAGAACCAGCCTTGATGAGGACAATGCCACTGCACTGCTCACCATACTGGGTAAGAGGGTTTTGTAAATAATATAGTATAGAATATCATTAATTATTCATTACATATTCTTTGAAAGGACCTAGAATATAGACAGCGATATAAATAATTTTAAACAGGGTGTTGCATTGGGGTTTGGATGTCATGATCATGTTTAAACACTCCAGATGTTTTGGTTATTAAATTGACCATCAAATGTTTTGTGTTGCAGACGTTCCTGATGCTCCAAAAAATTTAACGATTCTTGAGTTAGAGAGTCCGAGAAACGTCAGTCTGTCTTGGGTGCCCGGGAGTGATCACAACAGCTCTGTAACAGGTAGATGTTAATGTAGAACATAAAGTCTGAAAGGGGGTGATGGTAGTTGTGCTAAATAATGTAACAGAGAAAGGTGTGTGCACCCATACCAGCTCTGGACACACACTGACTGAGCGAATATAACAGAATATTGTAGAATAGAATAAATTACAACTTTATTGTCTCACCAGAACTAAGTTTTTCTTCACTCACCATCAAGACAATAAATAGCATTATAGTATATAGGCAGGTTAAATTGGGCACATAGGCATGCGCTCTTCTATGTCATCAACTTCACACATCTTCAGTAATGTATGTATTTTTACAATTTTCTCTGCCTTATTAATTCAAATGACTTAAACATGTTTTCTATATATCTGTAGAGAACATAGGCCTAAATGAGGTGATGTAAGAACTTCCAAATATCAAACATTTTACAGCGTTTTTTTTTTTTTTCTGTTAGTGGGTTTCCTTAAAAGCTACCCAGCAGACCAGTCACCTTAGCCACTTGTCAGTCTGCCAGCACAGATGGCAGAGTGATAGGTAGATGGCAAGTTAGGGAGAATTTGACATGTTTAATAACAATGCAAGATAGTTGGCTGTAGCTTTCCTCTAATCTTTGGCAGCTAACTGCTATATTCAGCTAGCCTGCAAGCTGTAGTTCGAGGTTAAACTGTAGGCAAGCTAGCACATATTGAAATCTCTCAGCACTGTAAAATGATATCAGTTAGATGTTGTAGTCTATGTGCACACCCTGAATGGGAGACCCCCAACAACCTACATGCGCATACACAGTCTAGAAACTTGGGCCAATTTCACCTGCTTTGTTCAGTGACTGCTGTTTTTATAAAATATATCTTACACAGGAGTAGGTTGAACTGCATCAGCTAAAGTTTGCAGACTGTGGTTCAAAACTTGAATATAATTGTTCTTTGATGCAAGTTAATTCAGTTACAGCACATCACTAGATGGTGTCATGTCTCCTGTGTTGTGAAGATTTAACAAATTCAGCTGTTGTGATGGCTGTTGAGTGGAAACTAAAGTTCTTTAACAAGTGATGGCTGCAAATAGTTGTGAAGTGCTGAGGATCCTGACAGGAAGCTTGTGTCTCATTGATGCTTCAAAAAGGGACTCATTTATTTTTGGAACTTAGTGATGATAAGAATTTATATCATTTGATAAATGTATCCTGTAATGCTTGTAATGTTTATTAGCTTTGATGTGTGTTATCTATGATCGGAAATTAGAGTAGACATGTCTGACTAAGATTCTTTGTTAGATTGAAATTTTGTTGTCATTATATTTGTTTAATTAAACATCATGGAGCAACAGACATCAGTTGTAAGGCCAGCTCTGTTCTAACCGATATCTGTGGATGACACAGTTTGGCTCGGCACCAGGTGGATGTGTGTAGAAATATTCATTAATTAATTTGCCATGGAAATTGCCAAAAGCCATGGCTGTGTCTGAAATCACTCCCTCATTTACTCATTTATAATTCCCTACATGATAAACAGGTTCTCTTGGGGAGTAGTTATAGAGAGATTTTGGACACATATGAAGCATCCTCATTTTAGACACGCTTACAGGTGTAGTGATGCATAACTAATTTACACATCTGTCATTTCAGGAACAAGGATGAAGCTATGCATTAGGGGATTTTTGTCAGTAGTAGTTCTAGTTTAGTTAAAGGACCAGTGTGTAGAACTTAGTGGCATCTAGCGGTGAAGTTGTAGATTGCAACCCATGAATACAGCTCACCTTCCAAGCCTGTAGGAGAAACTAAGGAGGCCATGAATCTCCCAAAAAATGCAAAAGGCCCTACCTTGAGTCAGTGTTTGGTTTGTCCACTCTTGGCTACTGTAGAGTAGAAACATGGCAGTTCAACATGGCGGACTCCGAGAAGAGGACCAGCTTCCTGTGTAGATAAAAAAAACAATTCTAATTTTCAGGTGATTACACACTAATGAAAAGATATGTATATTATATTTTATATTCCATTTCTGCCAATAGATCAACCTAAATGTACACACTGGAACTTTAACTCAATACTCAGAATGTTGAAATACCCTTTATTGATTTAGGGAAACATATACACTACTAATATAGTGTATAGTGGACTGTACAGTGAAGTGAAACAAATACAAGGAGTCTAATGCATGATCTGTGAGGAGTTGTGATTAGCAACACGTATGGTGATAACTAAATGTGTATGTCTCCTTTCTCCTCCATGAGCACAGAATTTATAGTGGAGTATGAGGAGAGCCAATGGGAGCCTGGCAGGTGGAGGGAGCTACAGAAAGTCCCTGGTATCCAGGCAACAGCCGAGCTGGCACTACATGGACACCTTAACTACCAGTTCAGAGTGTATGCTGTTAATGCTGTTGGACCTGGACCCCCCAGTGAGCCCACTAAGAGACACAAAACACCCCCTGCTGGTGAGACTTGCTCCCTTTAATTAACATTTTCTGCTGTGGTTATCTGTTGATTGTGAAAGTATGCAAAGTTTTAATATTTCTTTTGAAATGTGCAAAGGGTTGCTGTGTGTAGCCAGCTTTTGGCCACAGGAGTTTGGAGCAGTTGGGGGTGTGGATATTTTTGGATCTCAGGAGCCCTTTAAGTCCCCAATTGTTAACTCCAGCACATGTTGCTGCTTAACCTTGGCTCATGCGTATATATGAAATGAGGATATTTGTATTACAATTTCCAAAGAGTCTGTTTCAGCTGAACAATATGGATAGATATTTGTATTTTAGCAATAAAAGACTAGATAGATTAATTATAGAAGATTAACTCATTCGTGCTATTTTTTAATTTGTAAACATGATAATTCCACTCTCTTCAAAGCTCCTGATAGAAACCCAGAAAACATCAAAATTCAAGGCCATCTTCCTCATCAAATGGACATTAGCTGGGAGGTAAGAGAAAGAGCATATCCATATTAAAGATTGGACACTAGAAACCATTATAGTATGGAAGCATTTTGCAAGATTTCTAAGTCATCAGTACACTGTCCTCTTGTAGCCGCTGCTGCCTATCGAACACAATGGCCCAGGCCTCGAGTACAAGGTGAGCTACAGAAAACTGGGAGTGGAGGATGTCTGGAGGGAGCATCTGGTCAAAAGACACTCCTTTGTCGTGAGAAACACGTCCACTTTTGTCCCCTACGAGATCAAAATTCAGAGCAGGAACAGCCACGGCTGGGGACCTGAACCTAAACTTGTTACTGGTTACTCCGGAGAAGATGGTGAGTTATTGACTTGATACTACTGTTTGTGTTCATATCATTAATACATTCAACTCAGAATTCATATGTATATGCAACTTACTTTAATTCTGCTGTTTCATTAAAACATACCCTAAGGCTGAACTAGCACATCTAGCTGTAGCTGTTGTTTTTCTTGTCACTTACTTTAAACTTTTTGTGTTATCGTATCCCTCCCTGTCTTCAGTCGTCTTTTGGCATTGTCTGCGGGAAAATGTTTCAGGTTAAGTTCTTTCCTTTTTTCCCTTTTTCCCATGGTTTTAACCCTGTGCAGGTGTGCAGTAGTGACTTGTCCTCCCTTTTGAAAAAGAAAAAAAAGTGCTAAATCCAGCAGGTGGCAGATAACCTTTGTAGAGCAGAGGGTTGTCAAATTTCCACTTCTGTCTCAGAAGCTGTGGGAGATTTGACAGATCACGACGCACTTTAGGCCCACTGAGGCACAATGGCTGCTTCTCTCTCTAGTGTCTGCTGTGCCTCTATCCTTTCCTACTACCAGCACAGTAACATGTAGAACAGAACATATTGAAAGCATTTCCATTTTGGATTGGTGTTGTATTTCTCCCTGCTGAAAGAAGAAAAAAAAAAGCCAGCTTTGAACAATGAAGCTGCCTCATTTGGTGTCCAGACGAGTATTTATTTGTGCACACTGATGTTGATCTACCAGCGTCACTGTTTTTATTTACCATCTTAGCCAGCAACAGATCATTTCTGCAAAGCCTAAACCAAAAGGAAGGATCTTTTCTTTTTTAGCATAACAGCTCAGACCATCCAATTAGGCTGTCTTTTCAGTTAATCTTCTTTCTTTAAAAAAGTTTTACTTGGTGTTAAAGAGTCTCTGGAAAGGTGGCCTGTTGTTTTTAATACGTCTGCATTCCTGACCTTCCTATATTTGTTCTTCAGTCCCTACTGCAGCACCACGGGATGTAGCTGTGGAGGTGTTCAACACCACTGTTCTGAGAGTTAGCTGGACCCCGGTTCCACCTGCCACAGTGAGAGGTCATCTAGGGGGCTATGATGTAAGTTTCCATAGTCCAGAAGTATGATTTGTTCTTGCTTCTTATAACTGAAGACTTTCAGTGGCAACACATGTACTCTAAACAGCAATGATTTTGTAGCCCTTTACTTGTTAACATAAGATCTGTGCAAGGATGTAAAATGAAATGGAATATTGTAATAATGTGCATTAATCACCTAATATCGATCAGAAATCAGAAATTAGTAGTTTAATGACTGTAACCAACCGTTAGTTGTACCAGTAGAGCTGCAGTTGGCACAACATTGTAAAAAGCATAATTATTAACTTTTACTTACTAAAGAGTCTGTAATTATAAGTGCACAAATGCAATTGCATAGAGTCCTATGAAATAATATATTTAGTATTTACTAGATATTTATTACTGTTGACTAACACAAAGTGCTATTAGTGGGTTTTTTTCTGTAAATGTTGGGAGGACAGCAGACAACAAAGATTGTCTCAGGCTTAGTCCTGATACAAATATTTTTACAGCAAAACTTCCGTAGTAGTGTGATTCTGTATTGCTGATTAATAGTCGAACAGGACATTATGAGTGAAACACTGACATCGCTTGTAGAGCATAAAACTCACAGTTTTCTAAAAATGAAGTTACATGTCAGTTAAATTTGACTAGGCTAGGGACATGGTCATTATAGTAATGAGCACATAGAGAAAGATTATTCCCTGCAATTGTAATGGTTTAAGGTTTTGTGGGATCCTTCCAACCTGATTCGTTTCCTCTTCTTCTGTTCAAACTCCACTAATGGCCCTTTTCTGAATGGTGTACCTTTTCTGGTGGAATGATTTTGTCATTAGTTAGCTAAGAAACAGCAGCACACCACCTGTGGAGGGTGAACTCAGTGATGAGATTTCTGCATGTGCTCATAGAGGCATCTCAGTTTTAAAAGAAGTAGTAGTAGGCTTGTGATTTAAGCAAGACATTTGCACACTGGTGTATGACTTTTAATCTTTATTTTGTTTATTCAGTAATAAAAACATTTTTATGTCTATATTGTAATTAAAAAGTACTTGATACAAATTTTTGTCTTCCTGCACTGTCACCTGTATAGGTGTTGTCATTAAGAGTTTGTCGGTGGCACAGTGGTTGACTGAGTGACAATGACAACGTGGTTGCGTGAAGTAGCTATTTTATCACTTGAGGTGATTGGTAAAAACATCAACATCTCAGAGTCACAGTTCATATGTGATTGTGTGTACCTGATTCATTAAAGGAGAAACCAGGCATTAATTGCTACTCCTCAAAATATTCTACTTCACTTTTCTGTCTTACTTTTGGTCTCCATCTTTCTCCTTCTCTCCCTCCTCTCTGTAATTTGTTCAGACTTGTTCCTCACCGTTGTCCATTACTTTCCTCTCACAGGTTCACTGGCTGAGAAAACGGAGTCTGTTGAATCCCAACAACATTTTAGATGAGCGCCAGTCCATGTCTTTTCCTGGAAATAGGACTCATGCCATCGTGCCAGGCCTTGAACCTTTCTCCGAGTATAGACTCACTGTCAACGTTTTCAACAAGAAGGGCAATGGGCCCCACAGTGACCCGGTCACCTTTAGCACTCCAGAGGGAGGTGAGGCGACACAAACACACAACATATGAGTTTTCCTCATAGGCACTTGTAAACACTAATGCTAGGTACACTCTAGTTTGGTAGAAATTTTAAAGTTAAAGCGAGAAAAGGAATTTTAACAAAAGCACACATTTCATTTACATTGAAATCTCCCTCCTCTCAAAAATGTGTTTCTGTGCTTATTGTTGCTTCACTAGTCCTTCACTGTGCAGAAACATTTTCATCTGCTGTAGGAGGAAAAGTCTCTCTGTGCTCACCTTAAGTTTAAGATTTAAGTACCTACAAGCATCATTTGTGACATTTGGAAATCAAGGTCGAGTGTGATGTAGGCACTTGAAACTCCAATGCACTTTTCAATAAAGTAGAAGACATTCTGTGTCCACTTTAGAAATGAAACATATTTTCAACTGCATAGATTCTGGATTTTTCAACGAGGGAGAAGAAGGAGACGTAATAAGAAAAAATCTTGTAATTGAATTTTTTGTGTAAAAACCATATCAGATAGAAATTTTAATGTATTTTCTATATGTCAAACATATTTGGAAGATCTTAAATAAAGTAGCTAGAGTACAATGTTTAGCCTGAAGACCAGGAGAGAAGGAAGAAGTCATCAAATGTTTGTTTTACCATGAAAACGGCTGCTCCGTGCTGGAGCTTTGTGAAATGACAAAGCTGCTTAAAACAGGAAGACTGTCATACTACATCAGTGTGTTTTTCATCTGTTTAACAAATAGGGAAGAGATAAGAAAGCTTTAAAAAAAAGAAAAAATATCAAGCATGAAAAGAAACTTGACATGAAAGAAATGTTAACATATTTTGACATGACTGATTGTCTTGATACAAACATCCTAAAAATATATACAGACTGTCACTCTGATGTAAATTACAAATAAATAACAAGCTGCTTGAGAAAAATGTCACAGTACATGCAATAACATTAATGTCATTCTCATAGTTCCTGAGCAAGTGCCCATCCTGACCACCTCCAATGCCCAGAAAGACTCAGTTTTGTTGGTATGGGGTCCACCGCTGGAGGCAAACGGCATCCTCACTGGGTATCTCCTGCAGTACCACCTCAGTATGTAAAGTCACAATGTTCTTTGTCTAATTACTCATTGACTTACACAGTGTAGACTTTTGACCCTATATTCATTTTTTATTAATAGATTTCTCTTTGCTGTGGCCCAGTGTTTTGTCTGTAGTGTAAAATGTTGTGGGCGAAGTATAAGCAGGAGTGTAGCTGCAGTGTTATTTAAAAGGAAGTGAGAAAAGATCAGGTCAGAGGGGAAAACGTGTAGAGGGGGTGGATGTGGGATAATAGCTTACCTTTGAGCCTACAGGTTTGGCGCCTGTTTGATAAACGTGAAAACATATTACATACACTACCATCTGTACCCTTCTTCCCTTTCCACTCATTGCTTGTGTTATCATACCAGACACTAGGTTGCACTGTTTAACACTGAACAGCCCACAATGGTCTGCAGCAGAGTGCAGGCTGCATTAGAGTTTCCTCAGTGTTTCTTATCTCGTATCCTCCTGGACTGCAGGTTCTTTTCCAAAAGGATCATTTAAGCCAGTGCTGTTTGTGCCTCTTCTACACATTTTCTTTGGCATTTATCACTCAGAAGCATTTCTTCTTGCAGAAACCCCACCTTTATGCTTGAGAACAGTTAGGGTGAACAAGTGAGTGAGGCGCTTTCATTACGCTTCCTCTGTTTTCAAAGCCTACACTCTCGTTGGCTGACATTTCTGAAGTCTTTTGTGTAAAATGTGAAGGCAGAGACAGCCCTTTGCCGCCTCCACCAGCACCCACGGAGTCTGGCCAGCTCTTCAGTACACTCTGTCCCCCTCTCCTTTCTGCTTTTTCCCATATCAGATGTCAGAATTTACACAGATATTCCCACATAATGCAGGCTGTGGGTGTTGGAGGTATTTCACTTGAACTGATTCGCCATGTAACTCGAGCATTTTTTTAAATTTAGTTAATTCTTTAGTGATAAAAATTCTGTACTGTATGCAGAGTTGGCACATCCAGTCAAGTCATAAAACTGCTTTGTAATTAGTCAGTGAATCCTCGGATCATGTTCACAAACATGTAAAATATGCAGTTTTCTGTGCTGCAAAGAAACGTAAATTTTCCAAAGCGGCTCAACAGGCTTTGCACCTATTCAGTTCCCACCTGCATTTCAATATTGGCACAGTAATGACATCAAGGAGGTGGACTTTAGTGTGTTTCTCTACAGTCTGCACACATACTGTACTTTGATCTATAATGCAAGTTTAGTGATACATTATGCTGCTTGTGATTGCTGCTCTTCTGATTTCCCTTTTCTACTTCTGCCTTATTTTTAATTATTTTATTTTATTATTTTATTTTTGTTCCTTCTGCTTTTTCCACCTGATCTTGTATTTTGGTTTCTTCTATGTTTTTTTCAGCTCTTCCTTCTCCATTTCCTCTTCCCAATTTTTTTTTCTCCCTCCTTCTCCTTTTTTATCCATTGCCATTTGTTTACACCCCCCCCCAGCTCTCCTATATCCTCCTTTCATCTTCTCTCGCCTTTCTTCATAAAGTAATCCTCCTCAGCTCACCTGTCACGACATGTATCTGCTACATTCACTTTCAGCATGAGCTAGCATGACATCTCTTCATCTTCCTCCTCCCTCAACCATTGACCCTCATTATAGTTGTGTTCCATTTACATACAACATGAGCCAACAGTGATGACTATTTCTGTGTCTATCCATTGTATGGTCACTCATGCCTTGTGAACTGACCTGACATCTTTCTCCTTCCTCTATAGTTAATGAGACCACAATGGAAGTGGTTGATTCCCAGGAGATAAACATCAATGTGGCTGACACCACCCAGTGGTGGCTTGAGGGCTTAGAGGAGGGGAGCCTCTACCGCATCCACCTCAGTGCCTGCACTCGAGCCGGTTGTGGACCTCCGCTGGCACAGGAGTGCAACACAGCTGCTAAAGCACGTGAGTAGATGAAATCAGTGTACCTGCAGTGGTAGTATGGCGAATAAGAAATAATTTGCATTGGTTTGGGTATGAAAGCCCCAGTTTATTTGAATTATACAGTAGGATACTACAGACATGGTAGTTGCAATGTAATAATTCATACAAAGTGGGGTGATATTTATACTAATGATCGTAGTGAGTCTTAATGAAACATAGTTACAGGAAGTACTAATTAGCCTTTGAAAGCAGTTGTATAATATTGTATAAGTGAGAAAAAAACCCTGATGATGTCATCAGTATTATCTGTGTTTGGAAGCCACAATATTTTTACGGCTCATGTTACACACTCGTGTCAAAGATTTCGAAAGAAGTTGGTGTTTACAAGGCATGGACGGTCTAATTAAGAGTCTGTTTTCATTGCGTTGTGGGAATTGTGGGATCCAGTGTTTTTTGAGCTAGCCCCACACTAAATAAAAGTTGGGATCTTTTATCATCTGATGAACAGTTCTCTGATACATATTTCTGCCTCTCTGGGTTTTCACTTGTCAAAACAGGCCATGAACCATTTAGAGCTTTAAATAAAAGCAAAAGGACTTTACCTTGGACCATTTCTAAAAGACACAGGGAGCTGATGTGGCTCCTTTAAAACTATAGTGCTATGCTTCCTCCTTTTAGTTTTGTTTTGAAGTCTATCTATATCTAATTTTAAAAAACCCTTTCAAAGAAGCTGAGGGAAAAATTACATTAGTCTGCTTGACATGGTCTACACATAAACTACACAGAAAGAATGTTATTTTGGCCACTCTGCCGAAGTGCAGTTTAAAACTTACTTTAAATTCAAAGACACAGACTTAAAGCATGACTTCTGATTTGATCTGGGGAACCAGAGATCCAAGATTCTTGGACAGTGCATCTCTTTGGCCTTGAGGCCTAGTATAAGTTTTTTTGTTTTTTCTTTGAGCTGTAGAATTAAATTATTCATCTAGTTTTTGATTGCAGAAAGTCAGGATTCGAGGGAGCTTAAGGCATTTTGTTATTTTGGCTCTACTGAGATGAATAATGATGTGTCATCTGCATAACTGTGATAATTGATATTAGACACACCCTGAAGACATCACCTAAAGGAAGTATGACATGTGGAAAGACTGTATATAAGATCAAAGCAGCTTCCCAATGCTACAACAAACTTGTAGTGTTACTTCCTGGATACCATCAATAGCTGACAACATACACATTTTGTATGTATAAAACAAATGAATATCATCATCAGAAAGACATTTCTGAAGGAAACGGCAATGTTGTGACTATTGTGGTCTCTTTTTGTCCTAAATTCTGTTTATCCCTAAGAGGGAGGCTTAAGAATCGTATTGTTCAAGTTGTTTTCTTTTTAGGATCAACAGCCTGTTTTTAATTTTCAGGATACAATCTTTCGAAGCACTAGTTGTACTGTAACGGAAAGCACATGCATTTACTCTCAAACTTTTGTGGCAGAAATTAAAAATAGTTAGTTGTATGAATTCGTATGAAGTCAGAGCAGGTTTTAAGAGCTAAACCATTATAGAGCAAAATACTGTAGAACTTCCACTGTAGAAGAAGACTATTCTCTCAGTGCATACAGCCTTATCATAATGGGTCCTTTAGAAACTAAACATCCAGTTCAGCTTTTCTGCATATCCTTTCAGTGGCTCTCCATGATCTCTTTAGCACTCAAATGGTGTTGATACATGATGGTGATGTTCTGTCACACACCCCTTTAATGGCCATGAGTGTTCATCAGGTTGTGTCATCCATTTCAGTGTGAATTAATGAGCTGTTAAGTTCAGAGAACAAAACCTCTGCTGTAGCATCTTTGATCCTATTCTATTCTGAACTGTGATTTATCTGATGTTTGTAGTTAAAAATGTGTGGAAAAAACAGCCCTTTTGATATTACCCGATCACATATGTTTGGATAATGATGTGTTGCCACAGTGATGTGCTGAGTAAATTCTAATAGATTAGAAATTGCAAATGTGCAGGTCCCCATTAAAAATTATTCTTTCAAAACAGGTGATTACCAGTGAGAATTCAGGAATAGCATGGGATAACTCTGTATGAGAACTGTAGGTCCACATTTCAGTTCCAAAGCATTCAAAACGTGAAAATAGATAGATAGATAGATAGATAGATAGATAGATAGATAGATAGACAGACAGACAGACAGACAGATAGATAGATAGATAGATAGATAGATAGATAGATAGATAGATAGATAGATAGATAGATAGATAGATAGATAGATAGATAGATAGATAAATAGATAGATCGACCTCAGTACAGGTAGTTTGATTTGAAAAAAATAGTCCCATCTTCTCTCTCTTCCTGGCTAACTGAACACTATCAGCTACATTGTCAGTTTTCAGACACTACATGCAAATCCTTGTCTGTTATAACATTGATTGTTAATATGGCATACTTTTTGTTTTGTTTTTGTAGACAAACCCTGGTGAAAAATTGGTTCAGTTTACTGTATGTGTTGCTTTCAGCCTATACATTCTACCACATTTCTGTTTTTTTTGTACCTTTCATAAACTAAAGCCATACCCTTTTCTCAATGCTTTGCTAAAAAAAAACAAAAAACGTGTGGTTTGTTGAACCATATAATTTAATTAAGCCAATTTGGCTAGTAGCTTAACAACATTACCTGGCACCATTCAGATTTAGCAGAATTTTGCAGATGTTCAGCTCTGATATGCGCTAAACACTGAATATGAACACTAGAACTTTGTGACAGTCCTTTAAAATTCCTCCCTCCATTACTTGGCAGGCAAAAAGATGTGAACGCATGAGAAAATATGTGTCCACTATATCTGAATGTTTTAATAAAAGTTATTCATTCCGCTCTGGCTTTTGTATTGGACGATGGACGTCCAGCCTGAGAGCCATTAGAAACATTGTTCGTAAATATGGTTGAGTAGAGGCTCGTTGGGGAGATAAAATGGTTCTGTTTTGGAGCACTGTCCTCAGGTCATGTTAGTCACAATGCAGCAAAGTAGATTTATGGATGCCAATAGCACGGAGCAGGGGCACCGTGAATTTAATGACACTGATGGGGAGTGATGGAGTGACAGAGAATAAAATGAATGCATTAGAGTTAGCGAGCACAGGCTACGAAGGGTTCCTTTTAGATTTCACCTTTGTGACTCAATAAGCTTTTAATGCTTATCACCATTTAGTTAGGATAAACAGTTGTCTAGCTTTAAAATAGTCTGGACAAATTACGCACTGGCATACCAGAACAAAAAAACAGCCAGTATCAGCAGATGTGTGTGTGTGTGTGTGTGTGTTTCCATGTGTCTTTGTTTGAACGGCTTGTAATGCAAAGAGAGTGGCTGAAGTGGGAGACAGAAAAAAAAACACAGAGGGATTGGGTGATACATCTGTGAGAAAGAGGGGCAGGGAAAACTGAGAGAGAACAGCTAACCATAGCAGAAGAGTGTGGTAGACAGAGAAAAATCTATTTTCCTCCATCAGGTCTCATGAGATAACAAAGAAGCACAGATAAAGCAGACTGCAAACATGACAAAAAGCAGAGTCACACAAAAATAACCAGCTCCTCCAGAGATTAAATGATTTGCTCCCTGGCACAGCATTTGAACACCCAAGTTGATATTGCCAACTTGTTTGCTAATAGCTTGAACTTAATATTTGAAAAAGTTTAGTTAGAAACATAGTAATCAAGAGTTGTCTTCATCTTCACTGCTATAAGCTCAGGATTCAGCAATCAGAGCGGGACAGGCTGTGTCAGTGTACAGCAGTGTTAATTGTTTTATATGAGTTCAAGTAGGGAGACACAATATTCCCACTAGACAATGTGAGAACTAATATAGACAACTTGTGCAAAATTGAAGGATATGTGTGCCACAGGTAATGAAACAATTACACCAATGATTGCAAATTTAGTCCATGTAAAATCAATGCAACACTGGAAAATTACCAACCCAGTGTGTTTCAGACCAATACCTACATAGTGAACACTATGGCACACATTTCCCATAACTTAATCCAAAACCAAATGATATTTGTAATTTAATATTCACTTATTAAATTCAGGTTAATCCAACCCAAACCATTTTTATATGTCGTTTTGTGTAAAAGTACAAATCCTCAAAAAGAACAGAAATACATACTGTAATGACTATGTAGCTACTAGCTACAGTATAAAGCAAAGCAGTACAGAAAAGTAATTGCAATGAGCACTAGGATGAGAAACTGTAGCTGTGTTTCAAACCATATCTGAATACTATAAACAGCATATGTATGAATCGTATTGTACTGTTTGGCATAATGCAAGAAATTAGTTGTGGAAGTAGTTGTAATCAATATTTTAATGAATCAACAGATAATTATCACCCAAATCTGCAACTCCCTTAGACTTTATGGAGCTTTATAGCGAACATTGAGTTTCAGCTCCAATGGACAATGGAATATTATTTTGAATTAACACCACAATCAAGCTTATATATTCATATTGTCATCTAGTGAGTACATATTTTTTATATATAAATACACTATGTAGGATCTTTTTTTCTCCACAGTGCCCTCTGGTGGTGCAGCTCTCCACCAGGCACCAAATCCAAAACAACACTATCAAACATATCGCCCATTCAGGCATAAACCTACGTGTGGTTTTATTTGTGAGGATGCACTGCCCATGTTTTTTGTGGTGTGTGTGGACGTACATTCATGTGTGAGTCTATGTGTGTGTGCCTGGTCTATAAACCTATAAGCTGGCTTTCCATATATCTGTAATCTTATGCTGTATTTCATTTTCTTTTTATCCCTCTGAAGATTTGTCCCCAACTCCAGCTGTGGCCCCTGTTCAGAGCAGTATGTATCACTGCCTGCAGCTCGCTAACATAGAAGTAGCAGTAGAGATAGACAAGGTTTTGTAGGTGTTTTGGTGTAGCGAGTAGCTGGCCATAGCCTTGTGAAACGTTTGTGCTTTATTGTAGTGCAGATATAGTTTGGGTAATTCCTGAATACTTGAAGATTTCTTTGTAAAAATATAGTGTCTTTTAGTTTTCCTGGTTGCTCTAACAATCGTGTCTTCATTTAGTCTATAGAGCTCACTTGTTGCACAATATGGAGCATTAAACCTGACAGCATTGTAGCAGGAATCTAACATCTGAGGCTTCTCTTTCATTTCAGACCACAACTGCTCTCTCTTCTTTCCCAGCTCTATCCGCAATTCTACTCATCCTCCTCTAGGTATATAGCTTACTTTCACACATGCATACCCAATGATATCCCTTGTGATTTCATCTTGATGTACCTCAACTTTCAGCTAACAATGGGATTTGAGACATGGAGTCGTTTCAATCTATTCTGATATCCGCTCATGGTAGGGGTGGGGGGGTGGGGGGGTGTCAGGAAATGCCAGCTTTGCTTAAGAGACAATGAAGACTAGATGTCACTCACACCCACGATCTCTCTATCTACCCTTTATGAGCCAAGACCCAGCTCCACTCAATTAAGTCTGGGGCCCAGCCTTGCCTTTTGAACTGTTGTCTTGAAGGGTTTCTGCTAGCTGCACTGTTCTCAAGCTGTGGGGGGAAACCTATTTGCCTCTGCTAATCCTCTTTTCCTGCCTTTTTTCCTCCTTTTTCTCTATATGTGTCTGTGTTTTCCTTTCCTCCTTATTTTCCTCCTCCTATTTCTTCTCTTTTTATCAGTTCCAGCCCTGTTGAACATAAGCTCTTATGTGAGTGACACCTTTGCCAAAATCAGCTGGACTGCCAGAGAAGAGCAGCAGGACTCGCAGCTTTATGTGGCTTATATGAATAACCGTAAGCTACTTTTCCTGTCCCCGCCTTGCTAAACATTTACACAAATTTTAGGTGGCATCGTGTTAAGGTGTAACTAGGAGGTTTTATATAAACATCTAAAAATATGTTATAAGCCTAAAGTCTGCTTGGCTCCTTCCATAATTTCCACGATTGCCTCAGAATGTATTAAGATGTATTCAAAATTATATATAGTCCAACAAATACATGTATTAACTTAAGAACCATTTATTACATGGCAACGGCTCCTCCTATCTTCTTTTTCGATAGCATGAATGCTAATACAGACTTGCTGCTTGTGCACTTCTTGTGCTTGGCTGTGCAGGTGAAGGTAACTGGCGGATTTCAGAGGCTGTAAACACTTCTCAAAGTTTCCACATAATCGATGGGCTCAAACCCGGAGCGGTGTACACCGTACGCCTCATGGCCAAGGGGCTACTCGATAACGCTAGCATTTTTGAAGACGTTATCCAGACTCGAGTCAAAGGTGAGAGGAGAGAAAAGTGACTTAGTTGATAGAGTTTAGTGATTCGGCTTCTAACCTGCAATAACAATATAAGCATATCTTCGACAAATTGATATTGACTGAGGTGAATGTGTGCGTCTATTTATTTGTCTTGTATCTCTGTTCATTTGTTTTGTTTTCTTCCTATCTAATATTCTTTCAGAAGAGATATAGAGTGTTATAGCTGAAGGGAATGTGAGTCAAATACGACATGAGAACATCCTCTCAGGCTAGAATCCATCATGTTTTTCTGTTTGCAGTCAAATATAAAGTTCTATGAAGAGTGCTTAAGGGAACTGCCATATTCAAATACACCAATGTGTAAAGACAACCCTTGAGCTCTGTGTGTGTCTTTGCTGTTTTTGTTCTCAGGTGCAGAAGGTCGGCGAGGCGACTTATCAACCCAGGGCTGGTTCATTGGGACCATGTGTGCTGTGGCACTCCTCACCCTTGTTGCGCTCATGGCCTGCTTTGTGCGGAGAAACAAAGGTGGCAAGTATGCAGGTACGCCGCCGCCACCACAGCATCAAGACATGTTCTCCATGGAAAAAGGTCAGTTAGTATTTGACCAGGGTTGGGTCCCCTTGTTGTTTCGCTTCAGGAAGTGAATCAAATTTTAACTTGTGTAGTGTACAGCACATGTAGAAGACACCAATCTGACTTGGTTATAAGAAGCCTAATTTTTTTTTTCGTTTATCAGGATGATAAACGATGTTGTTGACTTTTGAAATGATTTTGGTTGACTTCCTGAAAGAATGAAAATCTGCAACGGGCCTCAACCCTGACCCCTACCCTGTTTGGAAAAGCAATTAGCATGCACGTTGGACACCCACGCATGCTCACCCTGCCCCCAATATCATTAACCCCAAATGAACTTGTCTATGACATGATTGTAGCTAGTCTAGATTTACTGCATGCAAAATAATTTGTGTGGCCCGTTCTGCCTGGTACCTCTGATTACATATCATGTCAAGCCAGACGAGTGGGAACCAGCTGGCTTTGTTCCACACCTCCCCACCCCTCACCTGTGCAGACATTCCTGGCTCTTCCCCTGCTCCTTTGTGCTGCCTCGTATCAGAGCCAAATTCAGTCACAATGGTACATACCTGCAAAGTGTCTTCTCACTCGGTTTCTTTCCTCTCAACCTGCTTTCCCGTCGTCTCCCCACCACTCCATTTCTTTGCCTGCAGTAGCTTTTGACATGAAGCACTGAATATTTCATCAGCTTCTTTGGATTCCCCCTTTGCCCATCTTGCTTTTTTCATGAAACCCCTCTTTTGTCTCTCTTGAAAGCAACTGGTATTTTTTGAAAAGCATATTTACACAAAGACCTGATGTGTAGCACTTTGTGCAGGCATACAGAAGAGAAGCTTTCACTGTACAGACTAGATATAATGTTTACACAGTCATATAACTCTTACATACACTCAGGCAATGTAAAAATTCAAATCTTTTTCTGTACATCTGAGGTTGATTAAAACCAGCAAAATACAGCTGCTACTGTTTGAGTTATTTCCCTTTGGTAAATGTCAAAAGCAGGAATCTTATAGTTATTTGAATTTGAAGCATTACAAATTATTTTATGTAATACGTAATCACATCTATGGATGAAAGTGCTACTCTTTAACAATGGTGCTAAGATGTCTTTCCTGCCCCCCTTTGCAGTGAAAGAGAAGGAAGACCTCCACCCTGACGTGGAGTCACACAGAATGAATGATGACACATTCTGTGAATACAGGTGAGCCGTACTCCTGCTCTGCAGAGGAAAGCTGCAGTGCCAAAGTGTGCTGAGGAAATGACATTTTTTATCTCCTCGAAATGCATTCTCTTGTAGCAATATTAATCTAACAAGCATATGTTAAATATTTTCTGGCTGTGAAACTCATTTTTCATGTGTCACAGTAATGTTTTTCTCTCCCGTCCCAAAAGCAAACCATGCATTCATGAGCTTTACCAGGATCAGCCTAGAAGCCACTGTTCTCGTCAAGTAATGGGCTAGGTAATCAAACGGTGTAGTTAAGAGTAGTGGGTAGCAAAATCTTTGCTCCCCTTTAGTTGAAAGTATGTGCTTTTAGTTTGTTGTCAGATTCTGATTTAAGTGTATGAGTCAGCTTGGTCCTGTAGGCATCAGTAGGTTTTGTGTTACAATGTGTGTGTGCGTGGGTGTGTATATGAATGAATCTTTTTATATTCAGCTGTCATACACCCAAAGATGCCCAGCCGTTACCTTCACAACAAATTATATCAGATATAAACTTGAATTTAACATCAGCGTTCTGCTAATTTTTTACAACAACCGATACACGTCAAATGTATGTACACATATACTGTAATATACATTCATCTGTCCTATTAAACAGACATTTTCAGGAAAAGCTTTATGTGAAGCTCATGATAATAGGACAATAGAATATAAAATACAGTTCATTCTCTGCCTCATCCAAATCACTCAAGTGACACTTTCTGTCCTCCTCTGGGACTGAATGAAAGCGTCCAATTTCCACAACCAAAGGAAGGATGCCTGATCTTAAGCACAAATAGACCCAAGAGCTCTGGTCAGGTTAAGGGTGATGTATTGCCTGGTTTGTGTGCTTATATACAGTATATACACTCATTCTGTGTCAAGGGATGTTGCATAATTTATTATATGTAAGAATAATAAATATGTAATGTCTGGTTACACTTTGAAAATAAAGCTTGCTGAGGTAGCAATTTTAGTTTAGGAAACAAAACTACTTGGTTAGGGTTTGAAAAAGATTGTACTTGACAAGCCAACATTGACATTTGGTTTCACTCAGGACTCTTGGGAGAAAGTCCTGTGTGTTTAAACCTCCTCCAAATGTGGTCTTTGTCGCTCTTTATACTGCTGCTGGTGCTGCACCTTGAGACATGCGTGTAGTTTCTGGGGGAGTCAAAACTTGACACTGACACGGTATTCTCTGCTAGATAGGCGGGTCTATTACAACGGTTTGGCCATGAGACTGAGCTGTACATGCACCTTATATATAGTCAGAATTGCTAAATCAAAATCTTTGACTAGTGTTGGTAGAAAAAGGTAACAAAAGCAAAGAAACATGGCAGTAATGTAACCCGGGATAGGTGAAGACGTCTAAAGATGCGGCCACTCCAGCCTTCAGCCCATAAAGACTTATTTCCACTCTGAACTGAATAGATGAGATGTCACGAGTCCAACATGTGTATTAAATATACAAAAATAAACTTGTGTCATTTTGAGTTAATATCTGATGAAGACTATCTGATGTTTTGAATATGTAATTGCTTATTCCATTTAATATAATACGACCCACCTAGTTGTTTAGTTAGTTTATCATCCAGTTTATCGTTTATCGCAGGCTGGAGCTCGCAAACAAAATTAAATTCAGCAGTCTCTGGTGCTTTCCTTGAAGGGAATTGCAGGATGGAGCAAAAAGATTGGTGGTACTGTTCCACCACTTTGCAACCAAGACATATCTTAGACAACAGCTGTAATGCTATTAATTATTTAAGCTCTTAAATCAGCCTTCGAGGTTATGTGTTAGCCACCTCTAATGTAGAAGAAATGTATTTGAGGAGACTGGGTGTTAGTGAAACATGAAATGCTGCTGTAGTGCCTAGTTGCTTATCTGGTGTTGTGACAGACTTAGATTAAGACGTATTCAGTGGAGTATCTTCAATACAGGCCACATTTTTAATTTCAACAGAGGACGCTTCGACTGCAGACACACACATTGATTCTGGGTGTACATTAATTGCTGATGGAAAATATCTTACATTCAATAAAAAAGGCATAAACTAAGCATGGTAAATGGGTGGGAAAACTGAGCCTTTAAGCCAGAAGCAGAGAGCTGTTGTACTTTATAATAGCTGTTGAATTTCCATTGTTTTCATTGTTTAGCTGCTACGGTGACAGTTTAGAGAAATCAACTGAATCCTATTTTGCTTGACAGCACTGCAGCAACTGTGTGACAATGCCGTGTTTGTTTGTGCACACGCAACAGAAATCACCTAGAATAGCCTCTGTCTGCTTTGACTGCTTCTGCTCGTCATCATATTATTTAGAACATGATTACTCACAATTGGGCGGTTGCTGCCAATTGCCTCCTAAGTTTCTTGCCAAGACTGAGTCTGTTTAACAGCGATGAATGCATTGTCTACAGTCCTGTTTATAGATTATATAATAGATTATAGATTCATTTAAAGATGTAATGAATCACTTTTTACTGTCCCATAGCTCCAAATGACTATGATTGTTTGAAATATGGGATAGGGCTGTTGATCAGTATTGCTGTACATATGCTGAGACAGCTTTCAAACACACTTTAAGTATTGTTTCCTAATTTAATACTGATGGGAACTATCAAGCAGTGCTTATATAATCATATTATGACGATTAGTTATTGAGTTTTTTGTTTTACGTGTGTGTGATTCATTACAGTGAATGATGGTTTATTGTATTGACTATCAATTTTTGGATGATATATGTAATTTGCCACAGTTGTGACATATACATGAATAATGTGGTATTGATTTTAGCTCTGATACCAAGATTACTTTGGAGCTTATCAGGCAGAAGAAGCCGTGATAATATGAGTTGGTGCAGATGTTTGGCTCCGACTATCTGTTTAGAATGCCTCTCATGGTTGGTTTCATGAGGCTGTTCTGACTACTGTCCCCCCAGAGTGCCCTTAGCCTCACTATGATGTTGTTTTCCTGGCTTTAGAGCTGGATTCAGGGCTCTCTTGTGCCCTTTGAATCTCTAAAGGCAATAGACCACCCACTGGTATGCCACGTGTCTGGGGAGCTGACAAGTGGTAATTATGCTTCAGACGATTTCTCTTTTGAGACAGCCCTCTGCTGCATTGCCCCTTTGTCCACTGCTAGAACAGCAGGTGTCATAGCTGGAGTAGGCTGTTAGCCAATAGTGTGATGCAATTTCTTCCTCAGCTACTTTATCTGTTGTTGTTATTTTTTACCCCCACTCATTTTCCCCTTAATCTTAGCTCTCCTCCTTTCATATTTTATATGCAATTGGGGAGATGGCAGCAGATGTGGTAAGGTTTTTCTTCTTGCAAAGAGGGAGGAAAAAAAATACTACCTGAGTTTTTGTGCTGCCCCAGCATGGGTCAATGGCAAGACAAATTTAATTACCTTCTGCCTGTTGATGTGCCTCCATCGCTCACCTGTTTGTGAGGCCCAAGGAAAGCCTTTCCCTGGCTGTGACTGAGCTGGAACCCGACCAAGGTCCTGAATGAGAACCGGGGCTCAAAAGCACTCCGACCCATTTTATCACTGTATTCAAAGTCACTGTGGGGGGGCTGCAGCGGCATTCCACTGCTCTTAGATAACAGCCACTTATCTTCAGCGCTCTAGAGTCGAGAACGAAGGTTTGATAAGAGTTGAAATGCGGACCTTATGTGGCTTGCATGGTAAACAGCCTCATGAAATAGAACAGATAAGATTGGTTATTAAAAATCCCCGTGAAGGAGACCCGATTTGTAATCTTAGCGTGAACCTTTCCCCTGTGCTAAAATTCTGCTCAAAATATCGAGCTTGTATTTGACACAGGTGTCAACTACAGTACGCCTCAAATGGCCCTATCACACGCCAGCCACCTGAGCGCCATCTCTGAACGCAGGCGCTCTGTGTTATGAATACTAAACCAAAGGAGAGAGAGAGAGGTGTTACCAAACATGGATGGTTTAGGGAATTAGAAAAGAGGACAGGGAGGAAAAATATCCTCAGTGTTTTGAGGTGACCCCGCGTCTTGTACTGAGACACCTGCGAGTTGGCCAGTTGCCCGGCCCTTAAATTGGCATCTAATCTCCTCAGCCTGCGTGTGGGCCCCTTGGGAATACCAGGAATGACAGGCTGTTTGTCTGGGATTGCATATGCCCCCCAATCTCTTTTCCTCTCCCCACACACACATACACACATATACACACCTCCCACTCATCGTCTTTTTCACTGCACACTGGCAATTTCCATCGCTGGTTCTAAAGAGATTTGAAATTGCCTTTGGTCCTGAAGCCTTGGCAATTAGCAATTAGTGAAGTGATTGTAGCAAGCCCTCTCCGCCTCCCTTGTGCTCCCTTTCCTGCTGTGCAGCCGCCGCATCCACCCCTGCCTACCGCCTGTAGTGATGTATTGAAACCATAAGAACTTTTGTGTGTGTGTGTGTGTGTGTGTGTGTGTGTGTGTGTGTGTGTGTTCATGCAGCCAAGCATTTAATAGTCTATATGTACTGTACAGGCTCTGTAGGCTGTCTAGCTTTTGGTTATGTGTGATATTGTGTGTCAACAGCCTCTTAGGGCCACATGTGTTGCTTCTGAACATCTGCCTGATGTACTATACAATGTGTTTGTTTATACACTGCATCACTGACCCCGGCCATCCTTCTCTGTTGTTGATGGCAGTGACAGCGACGAGAAGCCACTGAAGGGCGGGAGCTTGTGTTCTCTGAATGGCGATGGTGCGTTGGGGGACAGCATCAGCAGAGACAGCCTGGTTGACTACGCAGACGGGGAAGTAGAATTCAATGAGGACGGTTCATTTATCGGAGAATATTCCGGACGAAAGCGTGGAGGCTCTGTTAGTGAGCCCAGTGGACCCAGCCCAGTCACTGCATAAAGCCAGGCTCCAGTTGAAATGGTCTACTTCAAATCCTTTCAAGATACTTTTATAAATTCAGCTCCGTGGCATTAAATATAGCTTGAATAGCCAAATATGGGGAATAAAAATGACTCAAATGTGCAGACTGTTTTTTTATTTTTACATTAGGCAGACGTTTTGCCCAGGGACTGGAAAGGAAATAATAAATCCACCATACACATCCATGTGAATACCATGCATGTCTTTGTACATACTGTGAGAGAATGAGCTGTATCATTTGAGTGTTTCATGATTTTATTAATGATAATAAAGTGTTTTTTATACCTACTATCAGCCACAATCTGCAGCGGTGTACTTTCATTTTGTTCTTTCACAAAAAGCGTAAGATCAGCAATTATTTTCCATGATGTAAAAAGCACTGATCACCATTTCCTTACACTGTGGATGAGAATAAGAAATACAGTAGAGATACATATGCACCTATAATGCGTCCTGTTTATTGAAGACAGAATTGCTTTTATGAAGTGGAACAAATATTGATTATATTATATATTATTATAAAAATACTGATAATACATTTTATAACATTAAACATATTTGAGCTTTTCTTTTAAATAAAGCAGAGCACAGCATGAGCATCAGAACAACATGAACACAAGAGCAGTATCAAAAAGTATCAAATTAGCAAACCATGCCCCTTGGGAATTTCAGCACGGCCACATGAGTTGTTTAGCAAGAAGGTTAAAGTGAAAAGTGCATTGCTGCATTTATATATGGAGGGTAATCATGAATACATCAAGAAACTCTCAAAACTCAAATTTATGAATGAGGCCTGAGGTGAAAGATTTTACCTAAGGACCTAGTTTTGAAACTAAAGCAATCTTTTTAATCATGCGTCATTATTCTGCTGGATATCACAGGGTGAATAACCCTGCATCCCTTTAAAATTATCAGGCAGCTCGGCTATTTATTATCTTAAAATTGTTAGTTGGGTACTTCCTTTCCAGTCTTTTTTTAACTTGCTGCAGTGATTCATCAGTTTCTATTTGCTGCTCCTTCTCTGTCATTTAAAAAGCACACACTTAGATGATAAGCTATCTTTCAAGTGGAGATGTCCTTCCACTGAACATGGAATGTGAATACATTCTAACAAAAATTCCTTCCTTGGCTTAGGGTTTTCCAAAATTATACAGCAAAGTTTGTTCACAAATTAAGCAAAGAGTGATATTGGATGGTTACAGACAGGGTTGAATCAAGCTTTTTATCCTTAAAGGTCAAATGCATTGCAAAATCCCGCAAAATATTTTTCCCGGTATCTCTGCAATACATGCAGTGAATCTTCACATGCATAATGCACATTGCTAAAATATTCATCAAGGATACAACTTAAATAAAATTGAGATGTGACCTATTCAACAATTTTACTTACACAGATGTGTTAAAACAGGAGACAGCAGTGTTGCTGGCTACAAAGTACTAAATATTTCATTGACTACAGGCTCTTTTAAGATACAAAGTCCTCTTTAAATGCAAAGAAGATTCTTAAAAAACAATGAGATCCGGTTTGATGTGTAACTTTGTTGACAATAAAGGGATTTATTCAAACCAAAGACGAAAAAAATGGCCATATGGCAGAAAGTTTAGCTAGTCAACACTGTAGTCAATCTCTTTGCCGTTACAGGGAAATCTTTTAAAGGTTTAGATAATTGGAGCCAGGTCCCAAGGCTCCAATTATCTGAACCAAAGCGCCGCACGCTCTCCCATTCAATTTCTGAGGGGAAAATATAGCACCTTTGATGAGGCAGAAATCCCAGCTAACGAAGATAGGAGATGATCGACTCATCCGTCATTTGGTGGGAGCCTCTTTAAATCCCTCTGAAACAGCCCAGCTACCCCTCCGATTGACTCCACTGTTTTCCAGCCTTTCAATAAAGATGCTCAGAGGTTCATAAAGACATTTTGTTTTCCCATATTAACCATATTTGTTGGTCCCAAAATGAACCGAAAGCTAACAACCCTGCACACAGTTAGAAAATATCCTCTGTCACAGTCTGATAATGTACTAAAGGACAAGCCTTTACAGAACGACCATGTTTATTTGACTTAATTTCAGCTTGTTCAAATCCTTTCACCTCTTTCACTATACTTCCTGCATATCTCTAAAATACCTCAGAGACCCTTATCTTCCATTTGAAATTTACAGCCTCTGTGCAGCTGTATAGTCTGTCTATGCCTGGCATTGTAGCTGTAATCAAGCCGGACTTGGGATACTGGAGTTGAAAAGCACTCCATGCCTCATGGCAAGATAAAGGTCATTTAAAGAGATAATCCCTGTATTGTCGGGGATTACGCCCTCATCCTTTTTAAAATTGCTTTCTCCGTGGAACGCTAAAACCTCTAAACAACAACAAAAGATTACTCTAGTCAAAGCCCCCCAGAGTGTCACACAAGCAGCTTTTTTGCTCCACTAAATCAATTTCGGGAATGTGCAGGTGACCCTTTCAAAAGTCAAAATAGCCTTATTTTGGAACAAGCAAAGGTCAGGATGTTAACATCGCCTGAATCCACGTTGAATGGAACAGCCTTGTTTGTTGCATGATGTTTTGCCCATGTTATCACCGGCGGATGCTGCACACTCACACACAAACTCTGAGCCCAAAGCGGATCACTTCCTTTCAGTCGATTTGATCGGAGCTGATATTTAGGCTAAGTGCCTTGGAAATTGCCTGGTGGGAGGAAATCGATAGCATACTCACACATGCTGTGAGTTCAACCCAGTAACCACCACGGGCTGTAATCACTCAGTGTTGCATCAACTTTAAAACAACCGAAGACGATGCAAGGACAAGACACGTGCAGAAACTGTAGCATGCGGGGGAAGATTTGCAGTTTTTCAGGGTGCAAGACACTGAGTCTGTGCTGTAACTGCCCAGTAAAGAAGGAGGTAGCGTGGCCATGTAGATCTCATCAATAATAAACACTGCCAGGTTCACTGAGAGGGGAACTGTGACAGGTGTTTCCGGACATGCTCTTATGGAAGACCTTCTTCTCCTTGGCAGCTTTTGAAGAGTGCAGTTAAAGCATTTGCGGAGAAATCGGTATGAGGAGTTAAACCACTGTCACGGCTCCTGCTTTTTTTAAAGGGACAAGCAGCCACTCGGTCCTATTGAGAGCAACACACAAACTCTCTCAAGGACAAGCTTTGAGCACTTTACCAGAGAAAGGGGTTAAGGGTGGGTGGAGAAAACGGTGGTTGAGTATTGAAGGTTATTTGAATGCACTCTCTTTATTCAGCAACATTGCAGATGAAGAAAAGGAGCTCAGAAAGCTGGCTCATGACCTTGAGTCACAGTCAGAGTGACAGTGTTTTATCTTCCATATTCTTCCAATGGCCTTCACTCTTTGTCTGCACCTTTTAAAAAATGGATGTGGGATGAATGCTCAGGCTTACCTTTTTTTATGAAATCCAAAGCCGACTAACAAGAAAAAAGACCCAGTAAGACGAGCAAGACATCAACGTCTAGACAGGTATTCAAGAGGTTGTTGTCTTTCAATGACTCTTGCTAACCTGTAGCTTCTATTGATTCCATTTACAAAAAAACTGAAATACATTTAAATGCATCAAAAGCTAAAATCAAAGTTGTCCACCATCACAATAACACCCTGAAAAACTCCCATCTAATTTAGGTCTCAGGCGTCCACCTCCCTTTTCTGTTCATTCTTTTGTCATCCCAACATGGTGCTATACTCACCTTCTGCTCAAATTTAATTTGTCTCACTAGAATGCAAATGGAATGGGATGATTCTGCATACAGAGAATCCTTTTAGAGGGCTATTATTTCCCTGGTAAACTGCTTTAGATGCAAGCCCAGACACTCTCAAATGCCAGCCAGCAATTGAGTGGATTTTTGTGCATGTGTGTGTGCGCGCTTGTGTGTGTGTGAGAGAGGGTATGAGTAGAGCAGGAGGATGCAGAGACACTCAGCCATGGCAGAAACTAATGAGACATGCATTGGTAATATGATTACAAAGTCAGCCTGGCTATGTCAGAGACCAGGGGGGCGCCTAAGAGACATCTGCGCAGGACAAAATGGACAGTGGGATGTTCCGTTGTACTGAGTCTGCATTACATTACTGTTCCTGAAAATGAGTGGCAGCCATAGCAGAAGATGAAAATGATGCTCACACTGTCATTCAGACAGTAAGAACACTTACATCAAGGAAATGGAGCTTGATGAATGATGATATGAAACAACTCAGGTGTGCGTACTGTTCGGGCCCTTTTAGGTCAACATGTCCTGTGTTTGATCCAGCAAAGGATTTCATCTAGACTACTGCTGGAGGATTAGATAAGAGACTTGTAAGTGCTGTGTGGGTGGTGAATAATTCTCACCTTCCTTTCTTAGCCTGGGGCTGTCAAAGCAACAACTTGGCACAAACCACAATCTATACACAATACGCAAGTCTGCTTAAAGTCCCTGCGACAGAACCGTGTGAAAAATGGCATCCTTAAGTTGCACAGCTGAATTCAGTTTGAACACTACCTGCTCACCTGCAGTGATGTTTTTAATGTTATTTGTAGTGCATCAAAATGCTTGTTAATAACAATTCAATCGGTCTATTTAAAAAAAAAAATTCAGAACACAAAGTGCAGTAGAGTGTTTTTCTTTTTCTTTGTAGGCAGTAATCAGACTCTGGTACTATACAAACAACCCCGGAAAAAGACAAATTGAGTTTGAAACCTTATCCTGATATCTGGTTTTAGTCTTAAGTACGAAAGGCTGGTGGCGGCAAGACAGAAGTGCATCTCCTGTACTTTGCAAACTAATTAAATGTGTTATTTCAATTTGCTGAGGTCTGTTAATAAGCAAGTGATGAGCAGCCCTGGCTATCAAACAGAAGGGAGAGATACTTCAATGTCAGTTTTTATTTTTCCAAAGCAATTCTTTTTCTATGAATTTGTTCCTGCGGTGTGTTTCTCATGGAACACCACTCTTGAATTATTCATGACGCCTTCATTAAAACACCTCCATTTGCATAACACACACAGGGATGCATAAAATGCATTAGGGCTTTTGATCCTGGTGTACATGTCAAATAATTTAACACAGAACTGGACCGCCAGAAAGCCCAGCAACATGGACCTTTAAATGTCTAAATTGATAATAAACCTTGCTTGGCTTAAAGTTTGAAATGAAAAATTATCATGCAGAGTTGTAAGTGGGTCAGAGTGGACCCCTTTGGTGCAGTAACCCACTTGAAGAAGTAAATAAAGTATGATAAAGGAGTTGTGATTCTGGAGGACATTAGTGTTTCTCTGGAGAAACTACTGCATTGTGA